TTCGCTGTGCAAATTCCTCCCGTCCGGGGGTTGTGTTTACAACATAAGCTTGTCAGCTTTGCGCTGATTGGCTAGTCTCATTTTCTTAAATCACCCAGTCAGCAGAGCTACAAGCATTTGAAATGTATCAAAAACGTGAACGAGGCTTTTAAGACCTCAACATTGATTTGCACTCAATCATTTGCAATTTCAAAAACCTGCAACTTAATTCTGATCCTTAAATGTTAGAGCATTGAAACTTTCAGATCTTACTCAATTATTAATTATGTAGTAATGATATATTATACAACTTAAAAACTATGGCATTTAATTTGTTAGACACACCCTTTTTCACAGGTTCTATTCCCCTCACAGAGAAAKTAATTTTAAAGAAGTGAGGCTCTAGAAATCAAAGCTGGCGATTTTCTCCCTCGCTGCAGCAGCCATCCTCAAAGATTTCTCGAATTTTTATCGACATCAAAGAAACAATAATCGCACGGTCAGCTTAACTGTATTTCAACCTGTCAACTGAATCATCAGTTCATACAATTAGAAATTTGAAATTATTTTCTTTTTTTTTAACTGCAGAATGCATAGTGATGACTTACGTCCACATCTTCACGTCTAAATACTGAAGGATGGAGGAAGAAGAGAGGTAAGCCGTCAGCCAGAATGCCCGGCATACCATCGGTTCCTTGCTTAATATAGTTCTATTTATACAGTTTGGAATCCTCGGTTTATAGTGCAAACGCAACTATTTATCATAGAAAATTGATTCCTAATGAAAAATTCTACAAATGCTCTAGATTTAAAAATTATCAATAACAAGATTCATCAGAACGTCGCTTCAAACACGATTATGTAAATTGTAATGCGCCGTCAGCTGCCTGCATTATACCTACGAAGCGTGCCTCGCAGTAAATTACATGATGCAACGCAAATGAAACCAAAAAAACAACAACCAAAATAGTATAAGGTAAGAGCCGATTTCACTTAACATTTGGTGTTTTACGGATGCACCAGAGATAAGAAAGTTTGATGAATACAGCRATTACTGTCTTTAYATGGTTTCGTCGCTTAAGTTACGACTGCCTAGATATATGTTTTGATTACRTTGACATGCAGTGGCATCGACATCGTGGTACTGTGATATTTGAAGTCCAATCGACCCTTATGTTTCGGTTTGACATTCATTCTCTRCTGTTTGTCTTACAGAAATCACTGCTGTCTGGCACTACTGCTGTATAGGGTTGGAATAAGTAAAGTRCGTCGGTTTTTCATAGGTGAATGGGATAATTCTCGAGGGAGGTTTGCTCAATGGACTGACTGCCACCAGAACGGAGCTGATTTGTTGACAAAGTTCAATCCACTTCGGTATGAAAGAGCTAAAGTCCARTCWGGTGACACCAGTACTTGGGATATGTCTCTCTTCGTCAAAGTTCTTTTGAGTTCAAGACCTCCATTTGTGCCCCCTTCCAACATACTCGTAGTCAATGCATTGATATGTTTGAGAGAAACAAGAAATAAACTTGCTCATGCACCCGATGGAAAAATAGCATCCACAGAATTTGACGACCTTTATAAAGATGCATGCGCGGCACTGACATTGTTYGGTTGTACGCAAAATGAATTTGACTTAGTTAAAAGAGGTAAGTTGTACAAAAATCCTTTAAGCCAAGTTCTGGTTTTTATACGTCTTTCCTTCTGCGACTGTTACATACACCTTTTTTAAAGTCGTGTATGACGGAATAATTGTTTAAAATATCAGTTTCGACTTTTTTCAAGCGAATTTAACTCAAAAGATAATTACGAACATTAGCTGCAGTGAAATAATTCTTCGAGATATGAATGAACGTTCTTCAAGATAGGTTTTTCTCCAAAATTCCAAAGCAAGCTCCTTTTAGATATTGAATATCATTTTCATGGCCAGAAATTCGGGACATTTAAGCACGGGACGAGTCAGCGGGTTTTCCCACCAAAATAGAGCTTTCTACAAGTTCCCTTGAGGTTTGAACTTTTGAAGATCAAATTTTTTACTCTTGTGCAACGATCCTTTATCTTAATACAATACTGGGCTAAAATCGAAACGTTCAAAACATCGACAAACGAGTATTGAGATCACGCCCTGATCCTTGAGTTCATTAGTGGCTTGTGAGGTGCTCGTTTGGAATGTTCATAGTGTAAATAATATTATTTGCTGGAACACACBTTTCCCTCAGGTATTTTAAACAATGATCATCAGTTGATTTTGTGATCTTTTGTTTATACTTGTACATTTCTAAGGAATTTAAAAGGTCTGACATTGTTTACACTAAATAGCGTAGACTTGATCTTTCGTTCGCGCGTATTTCCCGCTATTTACCAATGCGCGCAAGGCGCCAGTAAAAACCGCCAAACTCTGCCGGTCCCAGTCTGAAAGCCACGTTTCTAAGGTCTATTTTGGTACCAAACATGGCGAATAAAATGAAAAGAAAATGGAAGGTCGAGGCCAATTATTCGCGTGAAACAGGAGTCTTCGCCAGCCATTTCACCGTCAAGTTAGTGTTTTCAAATTGTACGATTTCTAGTACCAAAAAGGACGCTGTTTATCGTCTTCAAAATAGCTGAAAATCGCTGTGTTTCTACCTCAATATGTGGACTTTGAGAAATGATCTTTGAAATATCAGTGACATGTAAAG